GTGGAGAACTAATCAGAGAACAGAGTGGAGAACCAACCAGAGAACAGAGTGGAGAACTAATCAGAGAACAGAGTGGAGAACCAGAGAACAGAGTGGAGAACCAACCAGAGAACAGAGTGGAGAACTAATCAGAGAACAGAGTGGAGAACTTATCAGAGAACAGAGTGGAGAACCAGAGAACAGAGTGGAGAACCAAAGAGAACAGAGTGGAGAACCAACCAGAGAACAGAGTGGAGAACCAGAGAACAGAGTGGAGAACCAACCAGAGAACAGAGTGGAGAACTAATCAGAGAACAGAGTGGAGAACCAGAGAACAGAGTGGAGAACCAACCAGAGAACAGAGTGGAGAACCAACCAGAGAACAGAGTGGAGAACCAGAGAACAGAGTGGAGAACCAACCAGAAAACAGAGTGGAGAACCAGAGAACAATGTGGAGAACTAATCAGAGAACAGAGTGGAGAACCAGAGAACAGAGTGGAGAACCAACCAGAGAACAGAGTGGAGAACTAATCAGAGAACAGAGTGGAGAACCAGAGAACAGAGTGGAGAACCAACCAGAGAACAATGTGGAGAACTAATCAGAGAACAGAGTGGAGAACCAGAGAACAGAGTGGAGAACTAATCAGAGAACAGGTGAGAACCAGAGAACAGAGTGGAGAACCAACCAGAGAACAGAGTGGAGAACCAACCAGAGAACAGAGTGGAGAACCAGAGAACAGAGTGGAGAACTAATCAGAGAACAGAGTGGAGAACAGAGTGGAGAACAGAGTGGAGAACCAGAGAACAGACATATGGGGACACTGAACCTGACTGTACACAGGGTTACAGGGACATTGTCAGTTCATGAGTCACCAGATGGGTACTGGTTATACAGGTTAAATGTTACTGGTTATACTGGTTACTACTGGTTACTACTGGTTACTACTGGTTATACAGGTTAAATGTTACTGGTTATACTGGTTACTACTGGTTATACAGGTTAAATGTTACTGGTTATACAGGTTAAATGTTACTGGTTATACTGGTTACTACTGGTTATACAGGTTAAATGTTACTGGTTATACTGGTTAAATATTACTGGTTATAGTGGTAATATTTGCTATACTGGTGACATCAGTGACACTGGTTACATTACTGTAATTGGTGATACTGGTCATACTAGTTATATGTATGTTACTGGTAATACTGGGTTGCTCCAAGCGGTCTCACCCTGCGGCGCCCTGGTCAGGTACGTCCATGAAGCCCATGTCGTGATGTTGGGGGGCTCGGTTGTCGTGGCGATGCTGGCTCTGGAATCGGGGCAGGGTGGGCTGCTCCATGCTGGACTGCTGCCTCAGCAGGGAACCTCTGGAGGAGGTGGAGCCTCCTCTGGGAGCTCCGCCTCCTCTGGAGCGAGGAGCTGAAAGAGAATTAAAACTATAAAGCAATAGTTGCTGTGATGAGGGCAGCCTGACAACTGAAACCGGATCCTCTACCTGAGCTGTACTGGCCGGTGGGCGGAGCCTGGTTGCCCATGTACCGACTCTTGCGGTTGTCCCTCCTCGTCGGTCCTACCGATCAAACACACAGGAAGTGAGGCAGAGTACGCAGGAAGTTGTGCATTTGTGGTGAGTCCAGTTAGAACCTACTGGAGTTTTTGGGCAGACCCGGTCCGATGGAGACCTGCAGGACCTTCCCACTGGGCTTCAGGACGGCCTCGTCCCCCTGACCCGCCTGGAACTGGATCTGTCTGGAACCTGAAGAGCTGAACGGACCCCAGCCGCCCTTCTTCACCTTAAACTCCAGACTGGAGGCGAGACCGACAGCAAGACAGAGAGACAGACAGAGAGAGACACAGACACAGAGAGAGAGACAGACACAGACAGAGAGAGAGACAGACAGACAGAGAGAGAGGGATAGAGAGAGACAGACACAGACAGAGAGAGAGACAGACAGCAAGACAGAGAGACAGACACAGACAGACAGACACAGAGAGACAAACAGAGAGAAACACACAGAGAGACAGACACAGACAGAGAGACAGAGAGAAACAGACACAGAGAGACAGACACAGACAGAGAGGGATAGAGAGAGACAGAGAGACAGACACAGAGAGAGACAGACACAGAGAGAGAGACAGACAGCAAGACAGAGAGACAGACACAGAGAGAGAAACAGACACAGACAGAGAGGGATAGACACAGAGAGACAGACAGGGAGAGAGAGAGAGGGAGAGACACAGAGAGACAGACAGGGAGAGAGAGAGAGGGATAGACACAGAGAGACAGACAGGGAGAGAGAGAGAGGGATAGACACAGAGAGACAGACAGGGAGAGAGAGAGAGAGGGATAGAGAGAGAAACAGACACAGAGAGACAGACACAGACAGAGAGAGAGGGATAGAGAGAGACAGAGAGAGAGGGATAGAGAGAGACAGACACAGAGGGACAGACAGAGAGAGAGGGACAGACAGAGAGAGAGGGACAGACAGAGAGAGAGATATTGATTGGCATTGACCGCAGCCAATAGCAGCTACCGCTATATGCTAGCATCAGCGTCGACCGTCCAGTGAACACAACCTCTAAGACCAACGGTGCCGGGCTAACAGCAGTTAGCGGTTAGCTACTGATCAATCTGTCAATCAGGAAACTCTGTAAATGACCTCGGTACTGTAACGTTATTCCTTGTTGGTCTCGGAGGCTGTGTTCGATCCCGGTCCGGCTGCTGAGTCCGGTTCTGTTGCACAGAAGATACAATAACATGCAGTTAATTAGCAGTTACCTACTTTAGCTAAAGCTATCTGTCCATCAGGAAACTCTGTGAATCACAGAGAGTTGAACAGTTGAAACCAGGAAATATTTTCTCCACAAAATCTGATTCAGAATTAATAGCTCATTACCTTGTGTTTTGCTATAGCGAAAAATGATTGCTACAACTTGCTACATAGTGAAATGCTCAGAAGAGAGAAAGCATTTGATCGGACGATAAATTAGTATACTGGAGGATAGGAGACTTTGAATTCATAGAGACTTTAAATCAAACATTACATGAAGGCAGCAGAGAGAATAAAGTACTGACAGGTTGTTGAATTTGAGCGGAAGTTTCTTCTCAGTTTTCTCCTGATAACGTTTGACCAGCAGACTGAGGAACTCTGTTTTAAAGACGCTCTGAAGAACGCTGTCGTACTCCTCCTCGTGGATGATGAAGAAGTCGTCCTGCAGAGTACTGACAGAGAGACAGGTAGCGAAGTAAACAAAATGAAACAATTAAAGTACTTTTAACTCCTTCATCTCTTCAGATAGTTTTCTCCTCTAATACAGGAAATAATGTAAGTGTCTCTACATGTTCTGGTCCTGGTTCTAGTTCTTGATCTGGTTCTGGTTCTAGACCAGTTTCTGGTGTACCTCAGGGAAACAGACTGGATCTTGGTGAGTTCGATCTTCCTCTTGAGAACCTCCTGGATTTGGCCTTTATCTGGACCCTGCTTCACCTTCTCTCGGCCAATCAGGTAAAGGAACTTCGGGGTCAGGATGAGGTCACGCTTCACGGTCTGTGGAACAGGAAGTTGAGACAAGAAGTGGAGACAGGAAGTGGATGTCACTGACAGGTAGACTGTCAGATCAGCTGTGGGTTGTTTTTACCCTGAATCTTCGGTCGAATTTCATCACAACGTCGGCAAAGTCGATCCTCTCTCGGCGGCCGACAAACTGTCTGATCTCTGGGTGGTTGTCTGTCCCAATGTAGTCGCCCACAAAGTTCCTGTTGATGCTGTTCCTGCGGCGATCCTTCTTGTTCAAAAGAACATCTGAGGCTGGAAACAGATTGAGGAAGACATCACGTCCAAGACGCAAACATGAGAAAGTGGTGCTTTCTTAGCGGGCGATCACACAGACACGCATCGCTTCAAGCCAGAGAGCTAACGTTATGCTACGAGCCAGAGAGCTAATGTTACGCACGTCTAAAAGCTGCTAGAAAAATGCGTTGTACCGATGCATCTCTATGTGATCGTCCCTTTATCTCACTCCTGGACATCGGTCTTACCTTCCTCCCTCATCTTGACGTACTTGCGGACGGCGATGTGTTTACGCCATGCCTTCTGAATGACCCGAGCGTAACCGTTGTACTTCCTCTCCCTCATCTCCTCCAACAGGAAGAGCTGCAGAGGAAAACTGAGTAAATTGAGGGCTTCTGGGAACTGCAGTACCCAGAATGCCACTGTACAGGAAATTTCAGGAGCTTCTGAAAATGCCCGTGATATAACCATAGCAACGAATGCTGAGGCTTATGGGTACTCATTCCGCAGACCTGAAACCAGACCGTACCCCTACAGTCTGTGGTTACGGGTTAGGAACTCTACTAACAGGAAACTTTACTTCTAAAGTTTACAGCTAGATGAACCACTTCCTGAGTGTTTCGTACCGACTCTGGAGCTTTGATGAATATTTTGTTCTTGCCCAGCTGGAACTGGTCCTGGTCCATGTTGACAGAGTTGAGGAGGTGCAGGACTCCCTGGCGCTGCTCGCCCCTCCACTGAGGCCAGGTGTCCTTGGTCAGGATGGCGTACCTGCAGCACAAAATCTCTGTTAGCGTCTCTGAAGCAGCAGTACAGACTACATGATGTTACCCTGTTTGACCTCCTACCTCTGCAGGAACTTGTTGAAGACCCGTCTGTAGGCGTATCCAGCCCGGCGGACTCTGATGTTCTCTCGGAGGCCCAGGTACTCCACCTGGTGTCTGACCCGGTTCTCCTCCCAATCCCGGGGACGTTTGGTCTCGTTGGGTTTGATGCAGCGGATGTAGTGAGGAGTGCACTTCATCAGAGTCTGGACCAGACTGTTGGCTTGTTTCTAGAAGGGAGGGAGGACGGGCGGTTACCTCCCAGCTGTGAGACCCTGCAGGGTTTCAGTGTGTGATCATGTTTCTATCTGTGGAGGCTGACGAAACCAGCAATCAGATGTTTTAGACTCTCTCAGTCTGTAAATGTTGTGACTTGTTCCTACAATATAAATTATTACTGTGAAATTCATTTGTGCTGGAAGTTTGATGATGTTGGATAAACTCTGCGTACTACTGATCGTTTTGTGTGCGGGGCCTAACTGCTATCAGATAGAGACAGTTGTGCAGTAGCTAGCGGTGTTCAGCTAACTGCCGCACTCGCACCGTCATAGGCATTGACTCAAACAGCGACATGACGTACACGAGACTGAATGACAATCATATTTAGAATGTCTCACTATATCTAATGTAAATAATAAAATCATCACCGTTTGTCAGAATACATAAGTTAGTATCATGGATCATATTAGCCTCGGGAAGCTAATGTTAGCCAACTAATAAATCCTCAGATAGGATTTTGCTAGCGATAACGTTGCTAAGTTTAGCCAGCCATACTGATGCAGATCAGCCCCGGAAGTCTACATGTAGCCAGCTGAACATAACCACTTGTGCTGCATGGCAGCCGGCACCACTGGCTAACTCGCTAATCTTGGTCTCAGTGTGACCTGATCTGACCAGTGGTGGAGCGAAAACATGCAAAGTTTATCCTGAAGGTGGCGCTATAGGAAGGTCAATCATGTGGTCTCTCTCACCTTGATCTTACTGCTGGCGGTGCTCGGACGCCCTCTCTTCTCAGCCTCCAGGTTATCAGGGAAAAGAGCTCTGATGAACGGACTGACCACAAACACACCACAGACAGGGGTCACTATCAGGTCATCATCAGGTCATCATCAGGTCATCACACACACACACACACACACAGAGTACTTACAACTCACTGCTCTGCATTAGTTCGATGATGTCGTTAGACAACACGTCCCTGTTTCTCTCACAGAAACCGCTGACATCATACGACACCTGGACAGACAGACAGACAGGTGTTAAGGCGTACAGGCGTAAAGGTATACAGGTGTACAGGCGTACAGGTGTACAGGCGTACAGGTGTAAAGGTATACAGGTGTACAGGTATACAGGTGTACAGGCATACAGGTGTACAGGCGTACCTTCCCAGCGTAGTGGTGGATGATGAATCCTCTGTTCCAGCTGCTGAAGTGTTCATGTGATCCGATCTGTCCCTGAAGCTTCTGCAGCAGCGTCTGATCTGCTCCTTCACCTTTAGCATGCATTGTAGCACACACATCGTCCAGGATGCTCATGACCCCAGGAGGATTCTGGGAAACAAGAAATGATGTCATATTTATTATGTACAAACAGTTGTATTACCAACCAACCAAACCACCAAACAAACAACCAAACCACCAAACAAACAACCAACCAACCAACCAAACAAACAACCGCACAAACAAACCATTGAAACATTTACAGGACGGGTTGATCCCACACGGTATTGGAAACACAGTTTGGCTGAGACGTAAACACAAACAGCCACAGTGACTGATACTACTGATAAATCTGTGTTCTGGTCACTGATTGGTCGACTCACCAGTTTGGACTCAATGAGGTCACAAACCACCTTGTTGTTGAAATACTCGATGGGGGTCCATCTGATCCCCTCCTGAACATATTCGTCCTGCAGAGACAGAAGAACAGTTAAAGTATTTCATTGTGTTGAACATGAAAAACTTTTATTTTGAAACATCTGTGAACGCAAGAGAAACAGGAAGTAGAAAGCTTTCGATCAATAACTTATAAAATAATAATACAGTTAACGACCAGAGTAAAAGGTCAGACTGAGTAAGAGGTTGGAGGTGTAATGTGATGATGTCGTGTGGTGATGTCATGGCGTAGCACCTGTTCTGCCTTCAGTGTGAGCTCAATGAAAATCTGCTGCAGCTTCTCGTTGACAAAGTTGATGCAGAACTGCTCAAAGCCGTTTCTCTGAAAAAGATGTTTAACAGTCAATCAATCAATTTATTAATCAATCGGTGAATAACTCACACTCAACACAGTACCTGTAGTAACACAGAAACAGAACACACAATATAATTTCATAAGGAATTTACTGCCTTCAACCTGCTGCACCTACACTCCTCCATTTCCCAGAATTCCATTCAGCAACCATGGGGGGGGGAACCTTGAGCTTTCAGATTAATGTGCAGGTGTGTGTGTGAGAGTCTGTTTGTACCTGGAAGATCTCGAAGCCGTAGATGTCGAGGACTCCGATGTTGAACTCCTCCTGGTCCTTCTGCATGGCTTTATTGATACACTGTCACACACACAAAGCAACCGATCCATCAATCAATCACACCATCAATACACAACAAACTGAAGCCTGAAATCAAAGGAGGCAGCGTGCGGGGTGTCGATGTGGACTGACGTCAACGAGGAAGTCGAAGAGTCGCGTGTACAGAGCTTTGGACAGGGCGTCTCTGGTGAAGCAGGCCTGCTCGGTGTTCAGGGTGACGGAGATGGACTCGGTCTTCCCGCCCCACTTACTGTCCATAATCCTGCTGGTGAGTTTACTGCAGAGACCGTCCTGAGAGATCCCCAACAGGAAGGACGGGAAAGCCAGGACTGACAGGAAGACACAGAGACAGTGTGTGAATGGACAACAACCACAAAGTCTGTATTTCATGTAGAAACAGGCAGTTAGGGAGCCACTGGTGTACTACGTCCCCCCAGTCCAGCAGCTGTAGTGGATCCATTAGCTGACTCTGCTGGACTGGGAGCTCCCAGTGAACAGCAGGTCCAGACCGGGACTGAATGCAGCATCTGGATGACAGTTTTAGGACAGAACTGAGATGTTCTTATTGCTGGGTTTGGCTCCTGGAGATGTTAAAAGGTTAAACAGACTTACAGTCCTGGCTTTCAACCACAGCGTAGTTGTTCTCCTCTCTGAAGCTGATGTTTCCCAAATGGAGAATTCCTGCAACAAGCTGAAGAACCGAGTCCTGATCCTCCACAGACAGACCCACTACTGTCATCGCCCCCTGAGAGACAGAAAGGTAAAGAGACAGTCAGCCAGCTGGACAGACAGACAGTTTGACAGACAGATACGGACAGTTTGACAGACAGACCGGTACAGACCATAGTGTCAGAGAACTCCTTCTTGTCGTTGACATCCTCCACAGTGTAGGTTCCTGACTGGTTGAGGTACAAGTAGTAGTCCGGGGTCGTGACCCCGAGGTTCTCCCTCTGCTCCCCACTCGCCCCCTCCAACAGCTGAGGACAGAGGTCAAAGGTCACAGAGCTCAGATACTATATTGTAGTACCTGTACTATATATTGTAGTATATATTGTAGTACCTGTAGTACATATTATAGTATATATTGTAGTATATATTTAGTACCTGTAGTATACATTGTAGTTTATATTGTAGTATATATTTAGTACCTGTAGTACATATTGTAGTTTATATTGTAGTATATATTGTAGTATATATTTAGTACCTGTACTATATATTGTAGTTTATATTGTAGTATATATTTAGTACCTGTAGTATATATTGTAGTATATATTTAGTACCTGTAGTACATATTGAAGTATATATTTAGTACCTGTAGTATATATTGTAGTTTATATTGTAGTATATATTTAGTACCTGTAGTATATATATTGTAGTATATATTTAGTACCTGTAGTATTGTAGTATATATTTAGTACCTCTAGTATATATTGTAGTATATATTTAGTACCTCTAGTATATTTTGTAGTATATATTGTAGTATATATTTAGTACCTGTAGTATATATTGTAGTATATATTTAGTACCTGTAGTATATATTGTAGTATATATTTAGTACCTGTAGTGTATATTGTAGTATATATTTAGTACCTGTAGTATACATTGTAGTATATATTTAGTACTTGTAGTATATATATATATATATCGTAGTATATATTTAGTACCTGTAGTATATATTGTAGTATATATTGTAGTATATATTTAGTACTTGTAGTATATATATTGTAGTATATATTTAGTACTTGTAGTATATATTTAGGACCTGGTAGTATACATTGTAGTATATATTTAGTACCTGTAGTATATATTGTAGTTCATATTGTAGTATATATTTAGTACCTGTAGTACATATTGAAGTATATATTTAGTACCTGTACTATATATTGTAGTATATATTTAGGACCTGGTAGTATATATTGTAGTATATATTTAGTACCTGTAGTATATATTGTAGTTCATATTGTAGTATATATTTAGTACCTGTAGTACATATTGAAGTATATATTTAGTACCTGTACTATATATTGTAGTATATATTTAGTACTTGTAGTATATATTTAGTACTTGTAGTATATATTGTAGTATATATTTAGTACCTGTAGTATATATTGTAGTATATATTTAGTACCTGTAGTATATATTGTTGTATATATTTAGTACTTGTAGTATATATTGTAGTATATATTTAGTACCTGTAGTATATATTGTAGTATATATTTAGTACCTGTAGTATATATTGCAGTTTATATTGTAATATATATTTAGTACCTGTAGTACATATTGTAGTATATATTTAGTACCTGTAGTATATATTGTAGTTTATATTGTAGTATATATTTAGTAACTGTAGTATATATATTGTAGTACATATATAGTACCTGTAGTATATATTGTAGTTTATATTGCAGTATATATTTAGTACCTGTAGTATATATTGTAGTATATATTTAGTACCTGTAGTATACATTGTAGTATATATTTAGTACTTGTAGTATATATATTGTAGTATATATTAAGTACCTGTAGTATTTATTGTAGTATATATTGTAGTATATATTGTAGTATATATTTAGTACCTGTAGTATACATTGTAGTATATATTTAGTACCTGTAGTATATATATTGTACTATATATTTAGTACCTGTAGTATATATTGTAGTATATATTTAGTACCTGTAGTATATATATTGTAGTATATATTTAGTACCTGTAGTATATATTGTAGTATATATTTAGTACCTGTAGTATATATATATTGTAGTATATATTTAGTACCTGTAGTATATATTGTAGTATATATTTAGTACCTGTAGTATATATTGTAGTATATATTTAGTACCTGGTAGTAGATGTGGAAGTTTCTTTCTCCTGGATTCTGTG